CATCCGAGGACATTTTTCCATTCTTCATTCAGATAGAGTGGGAGGGAGAGAGAGAGAGAGAAACATCAATGTGAAAGGGACACATCGAGTGGCCGCCACCCGCACGACCCAAGCAGAGCCGGGGACAAACTGCAACCGAGGTACATGCCCTTAGCGGGAACCGAACCCGGGTCTCTCGGGACCGCAGACCGACGCTCTAACCGCTGAGCCAAACCGGCCAGGGCGCATTTCAATATATTTTGTATGGATGTTTAAGTAGTAGGTGGTGGATCATCTTCTTAATTATTGACTTGGCCATGACATTTCCAGATTGCTTTTTGCCACATCCTTATTTCTGCCCCCTTAAGGTTTGCATGGACTCAGTGTCAAAACTGCATTACTCACTCAGCTCTGTCGCTCATGTTCAGCATGGTGCATCTGAACTCAATGTGGTGCCTACGTCTTGTTCTTGCTTTGCATGTGAATATAATTCAAGATGTTTGTTTTAATTGCCTACATGATCTGGCTTGTACCTGGAGACTATTTAAAATATTTTTCTGATTACCCATATTTATTATTTCCACGGGAGTTCAGAAGAATCACCGAGCAGTCAGATGTTTTTTCTTTTTCACTTTAGTACATTTATTTGTTTCAGTCACTCTGAGAGTACATACTGGAGTTTATCCCTTAAGAGGTAATCAAAGCTGTTCCACCACTTGTGTGAAATCTGAAAAGCGTAATTAAATTCATTAGTTGCTAAACAGCAAAGACATGTTTATATTAAGAAGAAGACTTCTAAAAATGTGGATGCCTTTGAAAAACACATGTAATAACAATGGCAAACGTATGGTGAGCACCATTCTAAAATAGTGAGATGTATTCATGTATTAGGTCCTCAAAACCTAAGAAACACAGCAAGGATGCTGCCCAAAGTCATGCTTCATCTGGCGTCAGGGCTGAACTTGAAGCTGCCCAGATTTGGAACTTTTACCCTTGATCACCAAAGAAGATTGCTTTTCAGGTCACTGAATGGGCGGGCTGGAGGCAATGAGACCAGGTATGGCAGAAGGCGAGGAATGATACTGTTAATAAAACCCAACCCGCCGGGCTTCCACTGTAAGGTGTGTATACACATTTCACCCGATTTTATTCTCAGGATGTCAAGAAGCGCTAGCTGTGTTAGTGATGTGTTCATTACTGGAATATCTTCATCCTTCTCCACGTGACCTTCCTCTAGGGTCTAGACCATTTACCCGGGCTTTTCAGGGGGAATTTGTGAATTGAATAGGATATTCTCCTTTTTCACTCTTTTTTTTTCCCAACTGTGTCCCCTTTTCAGTGTTGATGAAATAAAAACGATTTTGCTCACGCAGCTGGAAACACCGGGAATATAGGGCAGGTTTTGTTACATTTTCCCGCCTGGAGGTAGGTGTTGATAAGGGGACTGAAGAACGCCCGTGAGAAGGTGTGACATTGTAACGTTCAGAACCAACTTTAAAAGTGTTTCTAAAAATCGATTCTCGGGTTACCGCAGAATGAAAGCCTTCGCACGCAGAGAAAAAGAGCCTGTGGGCTGGGGGATGGAAAGGGCTCAGTGGGAAAAGGAAACCGACATAGAAGGAGTGAAAGAGGAAAATACATTTCAGCAGCAGGAGGTGACATGACATGGAAAAAAAAAAAAAGAAGAAGAAGAAAAGTGTAGTGTAGAAAGACAGGCGGGAGAACTCACAGTCCCAATTAATGAAAAAAATGAAAAAGTCTGCCCCTGGAAGATTGAAAAACATATGAAGGCGACAAAAAGGATCTTCCATTATAAATGTGCTTCCGTGTCCAACTATGTTAACAATGGCAAGATAGTATTTCTTTTTTTTTTAATTTTTTTTATTTTTTCTATTCTCACCCGAGGACATTTTTCCATTTTCTGTTCAGGTAGAGCTGGAGGGAGAGAGAGGAACAGAGAGAGAGAGAGAGAAACATCGACGTGAAAGGGACACATCGAGTGGCTGCCACCCGCACGACCGACCAGGGCCGGGGACAAACTGCAACTGAGGTACGTGCCCTTAGCGGGAACCGAACCCGGGTCTCTCAGGACCACAGGCCGACGCTCTAACCGCTGAGCCAAACCAGCCAGGGCAAGATAGTATTTCTTATGCTGCATAACTCTTTTAATTTTTTTAAAATTTAGAAGTATGCCCTGGCCGGTTTGGCTCAGCGGTTAGAGCGTCGGCCTGCGGTCCGGAGAGACCCGGGTTCGGTTCCCGCTAAGGGCATGTACCTCGGTTGCAGTGTGTCCCCGGCCCTGGTTGGTCGTGCGGGTGGCAGCCACTCGATGTGTCCCTTCACGTCGATGTTTCTCTCTTTCTCTCTCCCTTCCTCTCTCTCCCTCCCACTCTATCTATACAAAAAAATGGAAAAATATCCTCGGGTGAGGATAAAAAAAAAAAAAAATTAGAAGTATAAACATTTCCACTTGGACCATAATTTTAAGGCACACGGAAATCAGCGTGTCATTAATGCGGTATTCTCCACCTAGTGCCACCTCCGGGTACTTTTTGTATCCTATGGGCTGAGCAGGCTTTTAATTCGTTCTTCTTCTTCTTTTTTCTTTCTTTCTAAATGTTATCTGGACACGTGGAAGCCAAACACTTAAGATTGCCACAAAAGTGGAAAACGCGAGTCCACTGCTCTCTTCTAAGTAGAATGTGCTGTAGCCTTGCGTTCTGACCTCCAGCATCTCAACATCAAACACGCAGCAGCCACGGTATTTTTTTTACTACCTTCCTTCTGGGTGTTGCTGATGCATAAATATTTCAGATTTATGCCAAGCATATAAAAGCAGGCAATAATAACATAGCTAAAAATATAAATGTTAACCTGAAACATTTAAAAGGTAAACTTCAGCCCGACCATTGCTGCTCAGTGGTTAGCGTCGACCCTGCACCAAGAGGTCGCCAGTTCGATTTCTGGTCAGGGCACAGGCCCAGGTTGTGGGCCTGATCCCCAGTGGGGAGCATGCAGGAGGCAGCCCATCGATGTTCTCTCTCATCGATGTTTCTATCTCTCTCTCCCTTCCTCTCTCTGTAAAATCAATAAAGAAAAAAAAAAAAAAAAGGTAAACTTCATAGAGCTATCTTAACAGCAGATGATCAGCCCCGAAATATAAACCTGATAATCCGTCTCTCCCCCCTCAAACTAACAATGTGCTTATTTGCCAAAGTGATCCCAAAAGTTCATGCAAAAGACACATCAACAAATCCGTAACTCTGAAACTACGATAACTGTGAAAAAAACATTAATGTCCTAGGTGTCAAAGCTTTTATTGCATCCCCACAAGCACTTGTTGAGATGTTGCTGTTTTGAAGGTACGGTGCTAGGAAGATACGCCAAGGGTGGCGGGGGAGGAAGGGGTTCAGATGTCAGGACCGTGCAGTTAACCACACGTCAGGCCCTATGAGAAAACACTCACAAAGGGCACACTGTGCTCCAAGCAAGAACGCGTCCTAGTAGCTCGGACAGTCTGGTAATGGTGCAGATAGTTCATGTGAGCGGGTCTGCAGGAGCAGGTAGGACTTTGAAGACAGAGACACAGGGGGACTCTTCTATTCCTACCGCCATGCTTCAGGGTTAGGAACTCACCCTATTTTAACTAACAGCACCTTCTGCTGATCTGTTCTTGTGGGTCCCACTTTCTGTAAAAATCCCCACTGCATGACCTCAATAAGAAGTAATCCTATCAAATTCATCAGCATCTTCTGGATCAACCAAACATTGGTTTTCAAATCACTTTGCCTCTACTCACAGTATTCTGCTTGCTGACTGCTCTTCCCCCTTCTCTGAAGTGGGGTGCAAACGGACAGAGAGGCTTTGCTCAGTTCATTGTCTTCCTCGACCCCTTCACGAATAAGTGTACCTCAGCTATTTCCAGATCTGTTATATGTTGTCTGATTACTGAGTCTCCAACCTTATCACTTCATTGATGAGCGGGTTCCTCCAAACACACTAGGAGATTCCTCAGGGCGGGGCGAGGATCAAGGCCCCCCATACCCTCAGATGGGCTGGACCGTGTCTGTATAGACCCTGATCACGTCTGTTCTTGGTGCAACTGGAACTAGGGCTTGGGGATATACAGCAAGGTTCCCAGGTGAGCAGGCGTAGGGAACCACTGCGGACTCCTGGGTCACACCTGTGACTGAGTGGACCCCTCCTGGGGCATCCGCAGGGCCGCGAGCATCAGCCACAGTAACTGACCAGCAGATCGACCTGGACACTGCATCGCTTTCTCAGTCATCCTGCACATGTTTCCCTTCGGAGGCCTGGAGTCCCTTCCTTCCTTTCTAGGGAAACACCTCTCTCTGGCAGATGGCGAGAAAGAATACCAGGGACTTTCCTGGCGCTGGAGCGGGGATTCCCTGTGCGGAGCGGGCTTCTGCAGCCGCCTACCCCGCTGCGGGCGTGCAAGCGGCCGGGAGCACCCTGGACACTCGGAGCATCCCGAGCCCCCGCGCAGCGCGGGGCTGGAGCCCGGAGTCCTCATTAAGCGCCCCCGTTGGCAGTCCCCCAGGCACCTCCACGCCGTCACCGTGTTATGCAAATGAGGGGGCGTCCCATTGGCTGGGCCTCCAGCGCAGCTCGGAGGACTCGCGCTGGGACAGCCCAGGTGGCCGGGTCGGACCCTGGCCCAAAGTCCCTGCGCCCCGGGACCTGCTCCCTTCCCGGGAAGCGCTCCAGCATCCGGGGCGCGCGCCCCCCCCCCCCCCCGCCGCTCCCCCTCTCCAGGCACCACGCGTTCTCCCCACGAAGTTACTTTTGCATTCCCGCCTCCCCCGAGTCCTGGGGACCAGAGGCGGCGCCGAGCCCGGGGGCGGTTCCTTGGCAGCGGACATTCTGGTCGGAGCCAGACTTTTGCTCCTGGGCTGGGTCTGCCTCATCCCCATCACACGGGGAGCGAGGCGCCAGCCCCCTGCAGCCGGGGCTTCGGGCTCCAGCAGACCCCCCTCCAGGCCCCTTCCCCGGCCGTCCCCTCCCTCTGCCCCGCCACATCCCCTTTCTGTCTCCCTCGGCTCCCCCGTTTGTCTGTGTTCCCACTCGTGGAGGAAGGATGGTTGATTTGGAGAGCGAAGTGCCCCCTCTGCCTCCCAGGTACAGGTTTCGGGATTTGCTGCTAGGGGACCAAGGATGGCAGAATGACGACAGGTGAGTGCTGTGCAGGGTCATTCCCCAAATACAGCCGGGACCAACCGAGACAGGGGGGGCCTGAGGGGGAGGCGGGAGGGAGGCCAAGGGAACCAGGGACGCGGAGCGAGGAAGAGGGACTCGGGTCTGTCTCTCCATTTTGACTCCATGGAGACACTGCTACACACCAGGAACGCCTTCCTTCCCCCGTCCTGTCCCTGCAGCGCGATGATTGCATCCGGCCATGCTCATTCTTTTCTGTGTTTTCCTAGGGTATGCATGAGGCTGGGGTCAGAGGCACGGAACGTCCAAATGGCACGCCCGGTGCCAAAGGGCTTCCTTTACCCCCGCCTTAGGGGTTGGTAACCCAGTTCGAAAATGTGTCGGGTTGACTGAAAAAGCACAGTCGAAACTTAAATCTGAACGCGTGGAGTCCCCTCCTGTCAGTGTGGTCTCGCAGGTGTTCCCCTTGCCACCGGGTAGCTCAGGCTCTGTAAACACTTGGAGTTGCAGGTAGACGGTCGTTCTAAACATATAACAGGTGGTTAGTGACAGTGACAACCTGTGCCACTGAAGAGACTCGTTTTGAACAGGCAACGGTGACTGTTATTAATAATGGCAATAATGGTGTTGGTGGAGAACGACCCAACCTTTTCACCAGCAATGTATTTTTAACCTAAATAGTGTGTGTGTCACAAAATTAAAACTAGTTCCCAAACTGGAATATTCATTATTAGCAAAATATTGCTCGTGTGATTTTCTAGGGCGTCACTGCTTTGCCTAAACGTCTGAAATGCCTCCCAGCTAGCTAGCTCAGTCTCATTGTTTAAAAAGAATATTTTACGTTTCATTGAATTTAGTATTTTCTGGAATAGTCATTCCACATAGCACATGCCACAGTCCCTTTGCTTTGAAATAATGTGCTAAGTGGGCTCCATTCAACTGAAATGTTTCCTTGAAGTTCACTTCGCTATTGAAGCTGTATTTTAATTACATAAAAGATCCGTTATTGTTCTGACTCAAAATCTCTCCGTTCACCCCCGGGCAGCCCCTTCCTTCTTCCCCTCAGCATCTCAGCTCCCTGTCAACTCCTGTTCCCTACACGTGGGGGATTTTATCTTGTGCCCCAAGGACCGACTTCTTGTTTGGTTTCATTAGGAATTTAAAGGGATATGGATGTTTTGCAGAGGATGATATCTCAAGTGAGCCTTTTCCTTGTAGGCAAAAAAGTAACTATTGGTTAAGAAGGAGAAGAATGAGTAGCAGATTACCCGCAGGGCTGGGACGTGAGGTGCTCTGGTGGAAGGAGGAAGATAAGGAGAGGAACATGGAAACACGTTTGCAACGCTGGGAGACATTGAGTTGTGCCAGCCTAGCACGTGGCCCCTGGAGTGTGGCACTTTCAGGGTGATTGGGTCCGTGTTGTTACTCAGGACCACAGGATCATCACACAGAACATGGGCTGAATACACAGAGGGTATATTTTGGACTTGGTGGTGGTAGCGTCGTTTGCTTTTTCATATCGTGTCCAAAATATTGATTGTTCGTACTTCTCTGAGGGTGCCGCGGAGATATGTCAGTAGCTGAGATTTTGGGTTAGTTGAATGCTACCTAAGAGTTGCTGCCCTTTTGGAAAAAAGTTTTGGGCATCGATTTATAGTATCTATGACAATACAGTTTACGCGAGCCCAACTTGATCTTAAAAATCGTCCATGCTCACGGCGGAGAGGTGTGAAGCGTTTACACGTTGTTGGTCTGTTTTTACAGATTTGACTGAATTTGTGGCTTCATGAAAACTCGCTGTTTGGTTTTGGTTCCATTTGTCCGTCTTTGAAGACAAGATCCTTCGATTAACAGGGACCTAGGCTCTGTCCTGTGTTCATTTCTGCACCGGCGGAGTGACTGTGGGCAAGTCCTGGGGCCATTGTGAGATTCTGCGATCTTAGTTCCAGAAGGCACAGGACGTGCACTTAGTGGGCACTAGGTATTGGCTACATGTTCATTATGCCATATTATACACACACACATGTGTATGTGTGTGCATATGTAAACATATGCATGTTGTTGTTTTCAATTTTTTTCTTTATTGATTTTAGAAAGAGGAAGGGAGAGGGAGAGAGAGATGGAAACATCGATGAGAGAGAACATGGATTGGCTGCCTCCTGCATGACCCCCGCTGGGGATCGGGCCCACAACCTGGCCATGTGCCCTGACCGGGAATCGAACCAGCGGTGCATGGGTCGATGCTCACCCACTGAGCCACACCGGCTGGACTCACATGTTAACTTATGCTATATGTTATCTCAGTCAATAATCAACAGTCTGAAGAGTGTGTAATTATTTTAAGGACTAGGATACAAAGTTTCAGAGAAATTAAATACTGCTCTTTGTAACCTATCTTCGAAATGTCAAGATGGCACTTGGACTTAGTTGTTTGCCACTCTGTTTCCTCAAGAAGTTCCTAAGTTCTTTCCGCTCAATCAACTAGAAGCTATGAGCATGATGTTACGGCCTCGAGGCGTGGTTTAGGGGCTCCCTCAGCATGAATTCCCTTTTTCTGAGCTGCAGTTTGCAATTCTTTTTATTTTAATCCTCAGAATCCGAAGTTCATATGCAGTAGGTAAAGTCGTCTCTTTGACCTATCGTGTGGTCACTGGTCCTCTGCAGCGAGGTCTAGACGGCACCGTATTCTCCTCGGCTATCCTCAGGCCTCGGTTCCTCCAGAGGTGAGGAAGCCCTCTTTCCTGGGGGACAGGTGGCCAGTGTCCACCACCCGCTACCCTCGGTGCTCTGCTCACATTCTCTAGGCTGCTTTGCAGGAACACCATGTGCCTGAGGTTCTTTGTCGTTGTTTCTATTTTCTTCCCCTGGGCGTGGGGACCCACAGGCATGCTTGGAGAGCCTGTTCGCGGTGCCACTGATACGTAGGAACTTGTAGGTGAGCCCTCAGCTTCCTAGCCCCGTGGTCGGCATGAGTCCGAAGCATGTTCTGCACCGTGTCCGATGGGACTGAGTTGCAGTTGCCCACAGTGGAACTGGCTTGATCTCGAAGCTGTACTGGCCTCCTTCCTGCCCCGCCCCTACTGCTACCTTCTGGGTCATTTCCTAGACAAACTTACTCTCCAGCCTCCTCCAGGTCTGCTTCGGGGAGAATCCGAACCAAGCTGGGCATCTGCTCCATCCAGAGGCAGATCCCAGAGACGAGGGGGGAGAGATGATGGGAAAGGGGACCCTTTCTACCTTGCTCTTCGTTTTCAGCATTTTCAGATCAGTCTTAGCGGGGCGGGGCTGACTGGCCTGTGAACACGAGCGAGGCGTGTGATCGACGTGTGGGAGGCTGTTGTCAAAGGGAGAACGGACGCTGGGGGGCCTGCTAGGGTAGAGAGAGTGCTCCCCCCCGTGGGTGCTTGTGAGCTAAGCTTGGCTGGGGAGCTCACCTGAATTTGTATTGTGCCACCTTTGGGTAGGGAAACAGACACACGTAACGTACATGGGATATGTATGTCACATGTTGAATAGCAACGTCTCTGTCAACTATGGCCCGCGTATTCGACAGTGGTCCCATGAGATTATCATGCAGCTGAGATATTGCTACCACCTAGTGACGTTGTAGCCACCAGGTTGTCACAGCACCAGGCATCCTTCCCGGGTTTGCGGTGATGCTGTGTGACAGACCCACGGAGCCGCCAGTCGTACAGACGTACCGCACACGCATTTAGGTCTGGTGCATGCCACGTGACAACGGTGATAAACGACTGTGCTACTGTTTATGTACTTGCTAAACCACACTTTCTGTATTATTTTAGAGTGTTCTCTTTCTAAAACAACAAACGACAACAGTCTGCCGTGTTGTGCCAGCAGCAGCCTCCTGTATCTTGTGTGTACCGAGTCCCTTGATGGCATCGATTTCTCTTTCGCTGGATTTAACCTTCTGTGTTGTGCAATGACATGCTATACAGTCTTCTAGTGCAGGAGCAGTGCAGTTGACTGGAGCCCAGGTGTGGAGGAGCGTAGACCACCTAGGTTTGTGTGCGTGCACACTGTGATTGATGTTCACACAACGACAAAATCGCTTAACGACGCACTCCTTGGAATGCCTGTTCTCGGTCAAGTGGGCATGCCTGTGTACATGATGCGTATATAATAGATCTGTAGTCTATATGAAATAGGTACTGCATCTGTAATGTATGTGCAATGTATATAACAGTGCCATCCTCACACAATTACCGATGACCTCTCCTGCATTTGCATGTTGATACCGGGTTTCTGAGCAGAGAACTCGGAGACAGGGAGGCCGCCATGTAGGTCATTTAGCACAAGGATGGCATTAGTCCAGGGAGCCAAGCAATGACTTCGAGAGCAGCTAAATGACAACAGTGCTCACCCCTTAGGGGGTCTGTTGCATCCATGGTGGTCGTCGATTTCTTTGGCTTCCTGGACTGAACACACAGATCTAATTCGAATGGTTTGTACAATATGTCTTCAATGGTCGTTGAGCCCTTCAGCTGATATTTGAATGCATGCTACATCTCGGGGCCTTAGTAAGTTAGGTTTGGGGATGGATATCAGAAAGAATGTGAAACAGTGCTTGTCCCGGAACTGTTCGCACAGATCATTAAAGGTGAATTTCTCCCCAGGAGATTGACGGTATCGGTTCTGCTATGACGATGCCCGTGCAAAATTCCGTGTTAAGACTGTCCAGAGATCATGCACCATTTGTAAACAGGATAATCAGTATGTGCTTGAAAATATGTTAGGAGTGGATAAAGCACTCAATATATTTTGAATCTAATATTTGGGACACTCGTCAAAGTTACTCTGTGGCTGAGACCAATGTGACCAGGGGCTGGATGGACTGGTGTTACGTGGACGCTGTTCTACAGTATGAAGAATTGGTGTTGTGTTAAAATCCAATGAAACCGAGCGCCAGTTGCCCAACGTGCAGGTTTTCTCTTTTAATATTTCTAGGATTTATAAACCCATAAAGATTCAGAATATTCTCTGAAGTGAAAGACCGGTCG